CTGATACAGGTTATACAAACAGATTGAAATGATAATATAATATATTATCTCATATTATATTATCATATTATAGTTAAATCATCATAAACACAATTATGGACTTTGATATAAAATAATAAACAAATCAACCCATAAGAATAAAGAAGCACAACAACGTTGCAATAAAAAATTTCAGAGGACAATTACAAAATCAAAAGAAAGAGAATAAAAAGGAAAGAAAACAAAAGTTTTGTCCGCGAAAAATATATTTGTTACAGGCATTTTCTAATTTAGGCGTTTTGTAAAATGCCTGAACACTTAAGATTTTTATTCAGGCATTTTAAAAAAGCCTGGAAAAATTGAAAGGAATTTTAGAAAATACCTGAATGTAAAATCCCTGAAATTATTTTTATAGAGTGAAATCTTTACAAAAACTAAGCCACTAGAAATATTGCCACAGCAGAGCAGTTTTATCTTTGATGATAACTCAATCTTAACTTAAATAGTTTTAATAATTAAAAATAGTATCTACCGAATTGATTAAAATTCCCACAAGCACTGAATTGACAATCTTGTGTTATTTCATAAAAATGGTTGGACGGCAAGTTCTGTGGCTCATTTGTCCTGAATTTTAGGTAAATCCATCGTTTGGCGTTGCATTTGGTCTTGGTCTGTTAATACCTTTTTTGATAAAACACTTTACGTTCAAAACGTGGGGTTTTTTCAAACAGCACTAGCATGAATATCTTCTTTTCGGAAGGCAACATTTCTGTCCATATTCAACATAGTTCATATCAAGCGGCAGTCCCAATTCCTGTCCTTATAAGCGGGTCAATCAATTACAGAACTAACCTTTTTGATTTATTATCAATGTCTTCTCGTCCTAATTATGCATGAAATGCTTTCCACTGAACAAAAAAAAAATACAATCCGCCAATCAAAAAAACATCCTTCTTTTTCTCTGCTTCATATTACACATTTCTGTTTTGAATATAGATTTTCTATAAATTCGTTTGTAAATTTGTACTGTTGTAAAATCAATTTGTCCTTCTGCAATCATGACAAGAGAATCATTAAATTACTATCTGAAATACAGAGTCAGTACACTATTAAGGTATTTTACTTTTATTACTAAAAAGTACTTATTATAGAAATACAAACTATTCCAGCTTTTATTTGAAAAATAACTTAAATTTACCGAACCATTAGTTAATTTCTATTGTGTTTTTGGTCATATGTATCTCAATGATAAAATTATCCCTTTTCTACAAATTATTCAAAAATTGGACAGGCAATCTGTTGATTTTTGTCACAAAACAGTCATTTTACAAAATGACAATCATTTTACAAAATGACTAGGTGATTTTTATAAGTTATTTAATATAAAGCATGTCAAGGTTCGACATTTTATACGGAAACAGTAAATACACGTATCAATAAATATGTTGGATGACAAATATCCTTTATTAGTATGATGTGAAATGAATCTTATCAATCTATTCAGAATTACTAAACAGACTTGACCGTAATACAAACTAAAAACCGAACCACGCTGGTATAATTCTAAAATCTCAAAGTTCACGCAAATTTTGTATTTACAACAGCGGCTTCGTATTTATGCATTCAAAATGAAACTTACACATCCAGCTGTTGTGGTTAGCACTGGGCGATTTGAACTACACCTTTCAATGATCCCATTTAGTGCCAACGTTTTTTATTTTCATATCCAAATGTTCCCGAGTGATTCTCTCCTTCCTCGACCAAACAGTGTTATTGATAATTCTGTCAATAGTCAGTCGATTGAAATCTGCCCTAGTGTGGCCAGGCGATCTCAAATGTCGACAGAGGAAGGTCTGGCTTACATTTATAGTCACAACGATGACCGTTCATACGTTTGTAAAATGGCTGTACTGACTCAACAACATAATTTTTACCATGGTTACTCTGTAGAAGACACACAGTATTTGTAGTCTTGCAAGTAACATAGCAAACTATGGTGTATTTCGTATCAAAGATCGTTGACAAATATATATACTTTCAATATACTTACCGTAAGAAGGGATCAAAGGAATATCACCGTCCAAACAGGGAAAATTAACAATCGGGAACGAAAATTCGTCTCTTTTGTCATTAAGTCTATAAATAGTTTCCATGGTGATACAGAAATGTCCGAATCTAGGAAAGAAAAATTACTGCTGTCTGTGTTGGATTTATCTAAAGTAAGTTCCTTTAAGTAAAATTTCTGCAGTAAATTAGAAAATTCTAGATAATTTAAAGCAAAATTATTATGAAGGTAACGGTAAGTGCATTTTAATTCTTAAATAAATGTTATTTAGACGGATCTTTACTGAGTTTGGCAAAAAACAGTGATTCATATTAAAACAGGAACACTATTAAAGGGGCGCCCTTTGGAATACCTTGTTGCCGAAATGTACATAAATGTTGTCGAGAAGATAATATTATCAAAATCCTTTAGGCAGGTGATGCATGAATGGCAGGAGACGCTTAACCTGTCAACGCAACCATCAGTTTCTGTTTGTTAGCTTGATGTGTCTCTTCCTAATCGATTTACGAGATTTAAACTTCGGTAAACTACAGTCGCCTTAATTTATCAAACCGTGTCCTACATATAAATTAAAAAACAACATGTAACAAAGTAATCCAACAATGCTTATTATATTTTATGTTATATAGAATAAAGCGACGTGCTACTGGTATCAAAGTCCAAATGAAGTGCATTTTAGCAACTATTGGTCACCGTACGGCCTTCAACAATGAGCAAAACCCATACCATTAACTAGTACCAGCTATAGAAGGCATCCATATGCCAGCATGTGAAACAAGTCAAACGAAAACACCAACGGCCTGATTTATGACCATACAATAAGCGAAAAAATATGACTTCCTAACATGGGAAATGTACAGGCACATACATATAGAATGTGGCGGGATTAAACATGTTTGTAGGCGCTCAACCTTTCCCTTACTTGGAATTCGATTGATTTGTGGGATTTAAATTATCATTGTTAATTATGCCGTTCTATTTAGTAATTTTGTTTATTGAATGCCTCAGTCTTCTGTTACATGTACTAAGAATCTGACCACTTACTACAACTTCCGCGTTTATGACCATTATTAACTCGTTTCATAAAATATTAATTCCTCATTTACGACTTCCTCGGATATTGATTCTATTGTCAAGGACATCGGGTTGTTATTGACGTTGTAAAGTAAATGTTACTTGTATTTCCGCTTCCTGTCGCAAACAATCAAAAATCAGCATAACCATCATGAATTGATAAGTAGGTACGGTATCAGATCTCAAAAACAGCTACATAAGCAGTTGCACAATTTATTCGTTATGTTTGTGTTTACCCAAAATATAATTTTCCTTATCTGTTCCATAATGTTAATTGTCAGTGGTGTTAATATCACAGTGCATGGTGAATTATTATATTAAATTGAGGCTAAGCTGATTGCATATGGAAAAAGGGCCACATTGAATGGATGTACAAATGACTTTTCCAAGATATTGAGACAGGGTAATATTTAGTATCAAGTACAATGTTTTAGGGTCCTAGAACTCTAATGGTTTGTTGAAGGTCGAAGGATGACCTGTACTTGTTTACATCCTAGTCATTTGTTATTTGGTGGCTAGATGTCTGATTGGCAACCATATCGCATCACCCTAATTTACATTAATTTTAGTTAAAGTTGAAATCTTCAATGATTACCCTTGCTTACTTCCTTTTCAACACATTTTAAAATAAAACTTGTCTTCATGTTTCTGACGTATATTGTGGTTTTCCAATACGATGAACATTAAGCAGTAAAAAAAACCACAAAAATAGCAATTAAGAGATATTTAATATATTACGGTTTTTAGTTATAAGATATTTATGGCTTTTGATTAGCCTCTTGGTATGTTCTTTAATTTATATGGCCGTCATAACTCTTACAATTGAAGGTGAAATGTACTTGTGTTTGTATTGTGTCATTATATTTGTTCAGTCGGGAGACGGATTTTTAAACGTTTTTTAAAACTACTGTTCCTTTGTTATAATATTCAAAAATAAATACAGTTTAAACTAAACCAAGTTCAGTTGCATAGCTGTATTCCGTTTCATAGGTCTGTTTATCATTTTACATTCTTTTTGTTTCCGTTGTATTTATGCTCTAATAGTGTTCAAAAATCTTTTTTTTACTTGTATGATATGTGTGTATCTGGTTTTGTTCATTTTCCTTGTGAAGCTGATAGAGTGAATGTTGTGTTCGTTTGCTTATCTGTCTGTCTTCTCTATTTTCACAACTTCTACAACCGACGGGATATTTTGTTTGAAAAAAAGCCAACATAAATACTACTAGGCAACAACAAAACATGAGATTTTCGATATCTACAAGAGGGACAAGAGGGGAAGTTATCTTGAATTCGTTACTCCTCATACACCAAAGAACAGTTAACAGATATGAGATTAACATCAATTAGACAGAAACCCAACAAGACCATACGAGCATCAATTAGCTGTTTTACTAAGATAAGACCAATTTGAGTTTGCACAACACGTCTTTTCTTGAATCATCATAATCATGAACGCTATTATAATTAAAGGTACGTGTTAGGAAAATTCTATGCCCTCAGCAATTTTAAAAACCGGAGCAACAAAAGTTCGGTTGGGTCTATAGTTGATATGTTTAAAGGATACATTTCTGATCTTTACCGATACTCTTTGTTTTCAGTGGTAGTCAATATCATCCAGCATTTCTTCCTTTTAGAATTGTTGACTTATTCTCATCATATATCATTAATATCTAATAACAGTATGTTTAATGTTCAAAATTTATTTCAAAATTTATATATGATACAAAAAAGTACAATTTTCTCTTTGAACCTTGTTCCCCGTCTGAATATGTGTCATATACCTGCATTTCACTGTTTTGTGAAATCGGTTGATATTATAATTAAAACATCGGCACAATTATTGAAAACATTACTGTTGCAATGAATAAAACTCAAAAGCATATAAAAATGTAAATTCGTTTAATGATATGGACATCTGTCTATTCTTTCCATCTGTAAATTGCCATAGATCTTTTTCCTGGAGAATTAGGCCCAGTTAATTGATGTTTTACTGAAAAAAAAGTTGTCAATAAATAAACCTTTACAAGTAATGCATGTTCTATAGGAAGCTAAAATATATTGTGAACATTTATCTCCATTTTATACCCCAAGGATTGAATATGATATAGAAAAATGATCGACCATGCAAATCTATGATCCAGTTTTATTAATAGGATGAGACATGTGAAATAATCAAGGAAACACCAATAAAAACAAATTTAAATAAGAAAACATAACTGTGGTTATTGTTTACACAATTAAACAATAATGATAATTTTAATTGTTATCAGAAAAAAAACCATGCTCTTTAATAGTTTGCTTTGAGTAATTGTACAAATGTATCTAAAACAAGACAATTTTGATTTCCTAACTTTGAGATAATATTCCAAAAGCCGTCTTTGATGCTTTGGTTCCATCGAGTTGGTTAAATATTGTAGCATATATAGAAGTCGTGGTAGTGTAATTTTAATAATTTGGATGCTGTTTGTTTACACGCAACATATTCGCCACATCACTCCGCTAGTCTTGACATACAAGATATATTTATGTGTTGCCACTATACACTAATCAGACATAAAAATCAACAACTCAAAAAAAGAATCACCTTGCTTTTTAATGTAAAGGTATGACAAATTCAATTGGTCCGTCACCATGGTCACGTACATTTTGAAAAGTGCACGTATAAAACGCTCTATTGCTTATGGGTAGTACTTTACTTGTTGGGAATAATGTCATGCCCCTACATTTTTTAAAACCAGAGCAACATGACAAGTTTGGTTTGTTTGGATCCTTCGCAGGTCTGTTTAAATGTTAAATCTCTGATCCTAACAACTACGCCCATTTTCTAGTGGTAGTCGTATTGATAAATTTTCTGCATATTGGAATCAGAGCTTATGAAGTTGTTTGAAATCTACTCCGGAGTACAGACGATATATAATTGTAGGGCGACCTAGTTTCAATATCATCATTTTTTTTACTAGTTTGAGTTTGTTTTTCAGTAACATGATAGCTTTCTTTCATTTTGTATTTTTTTTCTTATACCTGTGTATTACGCGCATGCCACTTATCTTCAATACTACACTTACGTTGTTGTAAATGTGCTACAGTGTATCCAGCATGCCAGCGATTACCATATCCCAAATCTGGTCCTATCGTTGGATTCCGCCTATTTCTTTTGCTAAAACTATAAGAAAATACTTGCTGCTAATACTTTTTCTGTATATCGTTGTAATAGTTTGTATGAATTAAATAGATGGCGCAAATGATTGTAACATTTTACTGTTTAATTGAAGTTTTTTCTTTAATTTAATTAAAAGGTGATATGGGATGTTCGCCAATGCGACATATTCCAACCTCAAAAATACAACACAAGACATAAGATTATCATGATTATATAGGAGAAACACACAATTAAGTGAACTGAACGAATAACTTGATGTCGAATTATTTTAAAAAAAAATTACGAAATAGATCTTTAAATTTTCAGAATGTACGTAAAATGCATTTTTCAAAAATTTAAAGTTATCGAAATTCCGTCAACCAATACTGTTTGAAAATCATATATAATGGCTATGAAAATTCCAGTTTTAATGATGTAAAAAGTATATAGGGTAACCGGATGCTTGTTTTCAGTTGAAAGGAATTAATCTCGAAATATCGAGGAAATAAAAAACGTCAAAACAGACAAATCAAGCGTAACGTCGCGACGACGCTGACAAAATCGTAGTTTTCATGTTTTTGTAGCCGCAAATCAAGCTGAAAAACAACAAAAGCGAAACCGGTTCTCCTCCTTGTACTTTCATATCTTCAAACGGAAATGTTAACAGCAATAATATATTATTTTGATAAATATAAACTATCGGAAAAAGATAATATGTATCCTAAATAAACCCCCTAAATCTGACAAACCCAACGTTTTAAGTTATAATGCTTCCAAACCTTGTTAAATGAATGCCTTTGAAGTTATTTTGTGAAAATAAACTCAGCATGATATATTTTTGCATGATTCCCGAGAACATGCTTATTTTTCAGTAAATTACGTATTCAGCGCTAAAACGTTTCTGTTCGTCCTCATTTTTACCATTCCAAAACTCTACACACATTTGATTTGACTTCGTCATTGTATTAAATTGTATTAAATGTGTATTTGTTTATATATAGCTAAATCGTTTAAATATCTTTGAATGATTGAGTATGACCTTCTAATCCTACCTTTTATTACGAAATTATTGCATTCGACATGTTTAATTCGGTGTCCTGGATAAACTGTAATCAAGATAAACTTTATGTTGCATAATAGGAGGATCCAGAATACATTCGTCTAAGTGCAATCTATCACATATGTTATTAGCAAAAGGAATAATTAATGTATTAAACGACAAGGAACCTCGAACAACTGGCAACTTTGGGGACACAGATCATCAGTGAAAGGATTATTGTATGATTTTTATAATCGTAACATGTGACAGGACTGTATTAGTAATATGTTGGTATCTCACGCTAATAAAGATATGCATGGTGTAAATTAAGATTTCTTTACGAAAGATGGCAACTCCAAGGTTACTAAAGTAAAAGTTAATTCTGATGCCAGTTTTAAGGTTAACATTTATTATAAGATCAGTTCTAAAAAAATAAGTTCAATCTGATGTCTGTTATAAAAAACCATTTAATTCTGATATCAGTTTTATATGAAGTATAATGCGTATTCTAACGTCGCTCTTCAGTATTATATATGAATAAATCGAGATTGTATATACGCCAATGGCACGTTGAAAGATCTAGATGTTACTTGTGTGTTTTTAGAAGAAACTAAAACTCACAATTATAAATGGATAAAAGGTAGATTTGGGGTATACATCAATGAGACAACCAAATGACAAATGTAACAAAAAAGTATGGAACGCCATAACAGTATCAGGTAGTGGTTTTCTGTGACATTATGTAGTTTTTTTCTTTATATTATCTACCTTCTTTATTAGGTCTTTCCACGGAAAAGTGGAAAGACCTAATAAAGAAGGTAGATAATATAAAGAAAAAAACTAAAATTCACTGATGATCTGTGTCCCCAAAGTTTTTTTTCTTTCACTGTTTGGTTATTTCGCAAGATGTCGATTTGATATTTGGTATATGATATCGAACAGTTTATGCGCTTTCAAATCTGACCCTGCTTAACCGAATACTTTTCTTTGTACGAGTTATCTCCCCGAACACTGATTTTCTTGTGTTTGCTACTTCTTCGCAACCGTAAAAGATTACGACAAATTTATTTTACCAAATTGCTCGCTATATCTTCAGGATGTTGAGTTTGGTTTTCACCGAAGCAGTCCGGAGACTCCATATGAGAGTTATTTCCCCTTATGCATTTGATATAAGTGATATGCATTTCTAACTGGTAAACCATCAGTAATAGAGACCTAGGGTCTTTCGATTTGAGGTCCTTGGTCCAAAAAAAAAAAAGAAAATTAGGTCAAGGTCAAAGCTCAAGGTCATATACTAAAATTTGATTTTGGCTTATTTTGACCTTTTTTCAAAAATTGTATTAGAAATCGACAAATTATTTTTACTAAATTGTTAGTTGCGACATGTCGTTACACATACATTTTGGTTGAAAGGGTACGCTAACATTAAATAGGAGTTTTCTCCCCCTTATATTTAAAATAACGCATATGGTGATATAACTCATTAACCATATATAATTAAGACGTAGGGTCTTTTGATTTGTGGTCCTTGGTTTATGACCTTGAAATTGAGCTCTAGGTCATTGGTAAATTTGACGTTCTAGATTTTGACCTTTGCTTTTACCTCATAAGTATACCTGATAAAGTCATGGGACTTTTTGCATTATCATTTGACGTTGGAAAGCCAACCGGAAATGACCTTGTGTAAACCGGAAGTAGCTATTTTTTGTACATATTTAATGTAAAAGTATATCGAACGATATATTTTTGGAATCAGTGTCAATTGAACTATCAAATTATACCGGAAGTATCATTTTTCAAACCGGAAGTCTCAAATTATCTTTCCTTATTTAATTTTTTTTGTATAGAAACAATACACTTTTGGAATTAGCGTACAATAAGCCATCATTTGACGCTTGAAATGACATTTTAAACCGAATTTTAATATTTTTATTTCAAAATAATCTTTACTGGTGGAAAGACCTTCAATTGTTCTCTGAACAATTGGTTTTTAATTGTATTAAGTGGTTTCTCTATAAGGTTATGTCGATTCTTCATTATATCATGCGGTTGCTTTATTATATCATGTAGTATATTATGATACTCATGTCAATCTGTAGATGTTGCTTCTAGTGATGTTGGATGGCTGTTTAATTGGTCATATCCCATGTATTCTTTTAGTTCGTATATAAAGGTTAAAGTCAGTATATAACATTAAATATAACATTGAACCATTCTTGTTTTTGACATGCTGATTTAAAAAAAAACTATAATCAAAAAGATGCATACTCGTGATACGTGAGTCTATCTAGATAAAAAGTAAAACATTATTAATGTATACTAAAATATAAAAAAAAAAAAAAAACATGTCTTCGTTTTAAAATGTTTACCTTTCTGGTTGGTGTGACTGTTTGTACAATTCAAGAAGGTTTCTTACATCGTCAAGGTCTTGTTGTAATATACTTCTGAAATACGAAAGGTAGAAATTAATTTATTGCTATGATTTGTGCATACAATAGACTTTTTTGTTAAAAAAAAAAAACAATAGAAAAAAATCTGGGAAAACACAACGCAGACGAGTTGAGAATTAGAAGATACAAATGCATGCTCACAGTCGTAAACGTAGATAAAAGCTATGTTTGAAGAGTATGGTCCTTATTATCAATTTCTAACAGAGTATTTGTTGATGGTATCATATCTTACTGTTGTATTACACATTTCGTGTTCGGCTGTATAAGAGATTTGATTTAAAGAATAATCTAGAAAATAACAAATATCACCAGTTCAACATAAATGTATCAAATAAGTTAACTAATACAGCTAAAATTTACGAACATCGGCATGTACAATGATTTAAAACATGCAGGCATTTTGTGTTTGAAAATGGTGTGGTTGATTTTTGTGCTTCAGCTTTAGTTTGCACATAATTAGTTGTATATTGTCGTACACAATATTATTTTCTGCATACGCTAAATGGTCGAGTTGGGAAAACATTTTAATTTTGGATTTTTCTTGATTTGTTTGCTTGAGGTCGTTATTTTTTTAATTCTGTCTAAACAAACGTTACGATCAACTTAAAAGCGATGGAAAGAATGCGGAAACCATACAATTAATCGTCGTATTTTTAAAGACAGTTATACCCAAACGTACGAACAATCCTGAAAAGACGCTGTAAACAATTAAAACAAGAGCTTTGGGAAGAATGCGGACACGATCCGGAAACGTTCATGACTGTGGTAATCTATTGTAAGCTATAAAAATATTAATAAATAATTTCTGCGTACTGAGACAATGTCCATAGTGTCAAGGGCAACTTCAGGTCATTGATGATACACGTATATTACGTCAACATAAACATTGAACTTAAGTCTTAATATGAAATAAAATAAGTTGTTACCTTTTTTTTTATAGAAAGAGATAAAAGAATAAATCATGTTCATCATTAGGGAAGCTACAACAATATTTGTAGTTTCATATGAACTTCAGCTGCCAAGAAACAAACGTAATTGTAACCTTGTGCAATACTATTAAAATTAATTTGACAAAAGTCAACACAACTAGAGATACAAGTCTCTCATAACTCGTTTTAGAGTGGCTCTTGTTTTATATGTGAAGTGTTATGATAATGTGTAACTGTTTTGTAAGAGAAGTAAAATCACAAAAATACTGAACTCCGAGGAGAATTCAAAAAGGAAAGTCCCCAATCAAATGGCAAAATAAAAAAAAACCAAACACATCAAACGAATGGATAACAACTGTCATATTCCTGACTTGGTACAGACATTTTCTTATGTAGAAAATGGTGGATTGAACCTGGTTTTATAGCTAGCTAAACCTCTCATTTGTATGACAGTCGCATCAAATATAAGAGGTGAGACTTAAATAAAATATTGTTTTGTCTTGTCTTGTCTACAATGTACTCTGAAATTAGATGTGTCGCCGTTATCCATTTGAAGTTTTCAATTATCGAATACCTATATAAGAACAATTTCATAGAATTTAAATTTTTGTAATATAGCAGTAAATCAAGAATTTTCTATTCATGCAGACCATTGCAAAAGAAGGACGAAAGATACCAGAGGGACAGTCAAACTCACGGATCGAAAACAAACTGACAACGCCATGGCCAAAAATAAAAAGACAAACAGACAAATAATAGTACAGATGACACAACATAAAAAACTAAAGACTAAGAAACACGAACCCCACCAAAACCTGGGGGTGATCTCAGGTGCTCCGGAAGAGTAAGCAGATCCTGTTCCACATGTGGCACCCTTCGTGTTGCTTATGTTATTACAAATCCGGTAAATAGTCTAATTTGGTAGGTCACATTCGTGAAAAGGGAAGGGTATTGTATTTACGACATAAGGAACATATGCGATATCATCTGTGAAACGGTTATTCCATAACGGTCAACCAACTCGTGATGGCGTCCGTAAAATTTACGAAGGGATGATTTCAACTTCACCATTTGGAACTCTTGGTTTAATAGCTTCCTTGTGAGCAGCAATCCTCTATCAAGGAAATCATGATAGGAAATACAAGCCCGGGAATATCGTATCAATTGGGAGATATATACTCTGTATGCAGGCGCTGCTGGAATGTTGCTACATAGAAATGGAAAGTTCACAATTGGGAAGCTGAAATCATCTCTATTGTCAGTTGGTGCAGCATTTTGTCACAAGTATTCTGAATTGTGCAAAAAAAGTCGTCTTGACACAAACTTGACACAAATTATTCCTCTACCTCTGTAATAATTTGATTTTGATTTTTGGTGTTTTAACGCCATTTGTAAGCACCGCTTTTGGGCTATTTCGTGGCGGCCAGTTTTTATTTGTGGAGGAAGCCGGAGTGCCCGGAGAAAACCACCGACCTTCGATAGGAAAACTGACAATCCTAGTCAAATAAGATTGGAGTCGAGTGCACCCGCACGAGCGGGGTTCGAACTCACAACCTCAGTGTTGACTGGCTAGTAATTACAGTAGTAACTACTTAGACCACTCGGCCACCGAGGCCCCCACCTCTGTAATAGAACTAGACAGTAGTGTGCTGCAAGGGAGTCAATACTTATAAGCAGTTCTTATACCAGTGTGAATTTCAATTTCTAATAATAAATTTGTACAAAATATGGACTGTTTACTTCTAATATTTAGTATTCAACTAGAGTATTGACTTGCGCTGCGTTTTCCAAAAAATATCGTTTACTTATCAGCGTAACTTCATGCTGCAGCGAATACGCACTAGTTTAGTCCTTGAAAATTGGGTAACTTGTGATGAGTTTATGTTATCAAAATCTAATTCAAGAGTCCGATTCAAGATATTTTATATGACTCATTGAAAACCCTTTATTCCAGAATATAATATGACAATAGGTTTGGAACCATATAATTAAAACTTAAAATGTCGCGTTAAAACTAGTAACACTAAGAAAAACTGATGTTTCACAAGAAATTAGCTGAACAATAAAAAATGATATACTCAATCGGGAATTCCAGAGAAATTGTGCATGAGAGAGAAGGAATAAATTGTACATACCTTCTTAAGACAGGACTGCAAGATATTGAACACAGACTTAAACAAACAACTGTAGCAACAAACAATACAGTTACTGGATCTACATTTTTCTTCAACATGGTCCGCTAAAAAAGTAACAATTTAAATGTTAAAGTATGAAATATTTAGTAAAAATCAATCATATAAGATATATAGTATAAACGGCAATACATTCTTACCAATAAATAGATGATCTTTCAACTTGTAAGTACCTAAGTAAGCCCAGAATATCATTCTATTCGATTTCAGGATTTAAGATTCAAGTTTGAAAATTGAGAGATTTGAAGTTCAAAATCCTTAAGTCTTAATGAGAATTCGAGATTAAATATGGAATAGTTAATATGGCCAATAAAAAGAGGGTGATGAATTGTCATTAAACGTCCAGTTGCAAATAATACATGCATATCGGGATAGGAACATGAACAGTTAATGTGTTATGAATACGAATCCTGCTTTGTACTACGCTGATACGAATTTTTAGCATGCTAGTTCACAATGTAAGAGTCCAAATGAAGACATGCCACCCTTCCGGGACACATATATTCTGATCAAACCCATCTCTTATTCCTAAATGCCGCATGCATACTATGAGAAGCAGTAAATTTTGAGGTTCAAGGCGTTGTCTCCCTCATAGTGTCTTCATTCAAAAGTTGTTAAAACCTACTGGAATTTTTGAATATTTGAGATTCCAGATACATACAATTTACAGTAAAGATTCGACATTTCTTTTTGTTTTCATTTGAAAAAATGACATACAAAATATGATTGCACTATTTACATGTTTTGTAAAATTTTGCCTCGAAAGACATCCTTAACCAACAGTAATTAATTGGTATATTAAAGATCTTAAAGCTTTACTTCCAAAAAAAAAATTATTTTGATTTAACATTTCCTATTTATTCATTTTTGCGATATGTACATAAAAATCGACTAAAATTGTAGTATTTATCCAGCTTTCCTTATTTTGAATTTGGTTACATGTTCAGAAATGCTCACACATCTTGTTAAAACCCAAACATATACCTATGCAACTGTTTTACTATTTACTTTAGTGAAGACTGAAGGACCTTTTTTATAAATGGCCCTGTTGTAAAACAAATTTAGGGAAAATGGTCCAAATTTAAATTTTCACATATGAATTCTGATACTCATAAATAAACGTATGGAAATTGTCAAGGATCATTGAGTTTTACATTCATTTTTTAAGTTATATAAACAGAAATTATTTTTTATTTTATTTTGACTGTTATTAAAACTGACATGAAGCTGAAACCACTATTCAAGTTTCTTGAATTTTCATGATTTTTTAATTTACATTTATTAATAAAGATTTTGAAAGATTAAAAAATATATATATATATAATTAATAAACTTACTTCAGCTCTTTCAGTATTGTCACCGTTCAGAAATATGAGACATTTCAGAAGTTGAGCAAGAACTTATATACCCCGTAGTATTGTAAAGATTTCCTACGCAACGGCTTAAGTGTAGAATTTTAATTATTAATGTTCAAAATCCTGAGTGTTTGTTTAAAAATTGGAATTGCTATCAAAATGAATAGGAACAATACTCCTGACGCTGTAATACATAATAAATAATAAATGAAAAGTTGACAGCAACAATACTTTTACGACTGGTTTGTTAAGATTTGATGCTTATACTTAATTGTATATAAATGGTCTCCTAGGATTGACCGTCAATTGTTTAAATACTGTAATGATTGTATAGATAAATAATACATGCTACAATGCAGGTAGATATAAAAAAGGGGGATGTATTTTTTTAAATAATTTATTTAGGAATTTATCTCTTTGAAATTGAAGACCCAATCATTAAAATGCACTGAACATTGAAATGGTGAATGGAAATGAAAAAAAAAAATCTTTAATACAATGTATATGATATGTCTGCTTTTTTATTTGTTTTGCTGCAAGTCAAATTTCAAAACCTATCAGTCAAAAAAAAATAAAAAGAAAAAAAACATAATAATATAAAGTTGAAGGCATCTAAAAAACTCAAAATAATCCTTTTTAAATATTATTTTTCAAGCAATGCATATCTGTTTTTAGAGAGCTTGACGTTGAGTACAGATCTTTGTTAGTATCGGTTTATTTGCACCTTTTTTCAAAAAAGGACGTTTAGAGATTTACTTATTGTATAGACCTGTCGATTGTTACGACTGTTCTCTAGATGTCATTTGGTTTCTTTTGTTGTTAGGTCGCTGTTGTATTAAAGAAAACCCGACACCTCCTTCAGTATAGAATGTTGTTATTTTGCACATAATTTCGAACATTCATATTGCTTACCGACAAATACCCCCCCCCCCCCCCCCCAAAAAAAAATAAAAATCCTTATATGCAGTCCGCCAAAAGCAAAAGTTAAGCACCACCTAAGTATAACTGTCAATTTTTCAATATTTTTTTAACTGTTGCGAAAAAAATATTTATGTTTGGTGTTATGATTTGCCTATGGCATGATACACTAAGAAAACTCATTACGACCAAAAAATTAAACTCCGATATACCCGCCAAACAACCTTTTATTAAAGGTCATCTGCAATTTTACAAATACACTGTTTCGATGCCTTTAAATCATCTTCCTACTGTCTCGCGTACAGGTAAAATTTGACCTTCACCAAGTCACTGTGAAATATGTCAAGCGGTAAGTTATATGTGACTGAACGTTGACAAGCAATGGACATGTCATATGCCGGTAGGAGCACTAGGAGCATTGGTAACATTTTCAATGTTAATCGCACCGTCATTGTCAGATTTTTACAACGTCATATTTACACGGGAACTGTAAATGATAGACCAAGGTCCGGAAGACCCCGTTTAACTACCTATCGTGATGACAGACTACTTATTGGTCGTGCTAAAGCCAACCCATTTACTCCTAACCCATAGCTGAGACACCGCTGGCCTCCAGGTGGTCGTGTTAGTGTTCGAACATTGGTCCGTCGACTTTATAGAGGCTACCTAATAGCACGTCATGTTGTCAAAAGACGTACCCTAACAGCCAGGCACCGTATAATCAGGTTTCAAACGGCTAATGACCATCGACGATGGAATATGAGAACCTGGCAAAATATTCATTGGTCAGATGAGAGTTGGTTTCTGTTACGACCAATAGACGACAGGATACGAGTTTGGCGGGGAAATAAAACTGCCTATCACCAAAACAACAATTGCCCAACGACAGCAATCGTTGATGGTGGCGTTACAGTATGGGGTTTCTTCTCATACTGTTGTAAGCTGGGTATGCATATTTTCCAGGGTAACATGAACAGACAGACATACAGGGATTTGGTGCTTAGAAACATTGTAGTCCCTCATTTTGAGAATCCCCAACTTGCGTCAAGACCCTCGTACATGGATGACAACGCTAGACCACACAGGGCAAGGATTGTAACCGATTACAAAGATCAAGAAGCCATTGACACTATCTTTTGGCCTTCCATATCTCCAGACCTGAACCCTTTCGAACATGTCTGGGATGCATTGGCAGAAATCTCAATCGCAGAGATCCACCTTTGCAAAATCTTGGCGATTTAAGAGGGGAAATTGTTGATGAATGGAATACATTTGCTCAATTAAAGTTCAAAAGGCTTGTACAGAGTATGATACGTCGTGTTATGGAACTGTAACGGAAGAGAGGTGGTTACACTTCCTATTGACTTAAATATTGACATTAAATTTGCTGAACATACCAAAGATTATTTGTAGAGACTTTTAATGATTTTGGGTGATTAATTGTTTTAAAAAAATAAAATCAAAGTAAAACTTAAATTCCGTTTCTGATTTGTGTATTATTCACTATTTCTATGAACGCAAAATTCAAATGCATAGAACCTGCATCAGTGACATTTTTGTTTATGGCATATGTTAGCAAAATTGCTACATGAATATTTATATATATATTGACTTAACAGAAGAATTTTTGAAATATTCTTTGTGGTTTTTTTTTTGTGAAGTTATACAAAGCTACCAAAAGGAGGACAGGCACAAGGTCAAACACAACTTTGATTTTATTGTTGTATGTGTTGTATTATTGTACGTTATATTTTTTCTAACTATCTCAACTACGTACCATTTTTTTCACTTAAAGGAAATACGTGATGCAACTTACAAGGGCTTTCGTAAGTTTTTTGGTTTAAAAAAGGCGAAAGATACCAAAAGGACATTCAAACTAATAAGTGAAAAATAAACTGACAACGCCATGGCTAAAAAAGAAAAAAAGATCAACAGACAAACAACAGTACACAAAACGCAACATAAAAAACTAAAGAATGAGCAACACGAACCCCACAAAAAACAAGGGTGATCTTAGGTGCTCCGGAAGGGTAAGCAGATCCTACTCCACATGTGGCACACGTCGTGTTGCTCATGTAAGTACACACCCGGTGAAAAGTCTTAATCCGGTAGGTCACATTCGGGGAAAAGGGAACGGGATTGTAGTTACGACAATTTGAACATATCTGTGAAACAGATATTCTATAACAGTCAACCTACTAGGTCTATCATATATAAATTTACGGTCAACTCGACTTTTAGAAATCGATGAGCCATGTCGTTTAAATTCTTGTTAATTTCATGTCTCCATATTAATATTGTTTATGATGTTATTATTATGTATTTTATTTTGTTCGGTTATTTATTATTTGTATGTAATGGAGTAGACGTTCTAAGTTGCAAAACTTGTGTCTAATCCTATTGTCAATGTTTTTGGACAATAAAATATGTTTAAATTAAAATATCTGTGAAACGGTTATTCCATAACGGTCAACCAACTCGTGATGGCGTCCGTAAAATTTATGAAGGTATGATTTCAACTTCTTCACTTGGAACTCTTAGTTTGATAGCTTCCTTGTGAGCAGCAACCCTCTATCAAGGAAATCATGATGGGAAATACAAGCCAAGATTATCGTTTCAACTGGGAGATATATACTGCGTTTGTAGGCGCTGCTTGAATGTTGCTACATAGATATGGACAGTTCACAATTAAGAAGCTGAAATCATCTCTTTTGTCGTAAAGTTTTGTTTCAACCGACCCTTATTGTCAATTTCTAGATGCAAGTCAAGATACGAGGGAGACATAACTGTATCTGTTGTATCTTTTATCTCAAGTTCGATGGGATATATGCGTTCAACATAGTTAGCCTCATATGAATAAAGGAACAAATCGGCAAGAAGAGGAGCACAGTTGGCTCCCGTGGGAATGTCAATTGTTTGTTGAAAAAACATGTCCTTCAAACGTAACAAAAATATTTTCAATCAAGAAATCAAGCATCTCGATGATGTCAGTTTCAGAAGAATTTTTGTTTGAATCAGAGTGACTTTTTACAAAGTTCGATATATACAATTCATATTATTCATTTTATACCTGTTATATAAAATAAGGAAATGTGGTATGATTGCCATTGAGACAGCTTTCCAACAGGGTCCAAATGAGGCGGATTGAAGCAACTATAGGTCGCCGTACGGAGTTCAACAATGAGCAAAACCAAAACCGTACAGTAAGCTATAAAAGGCCCTGACATGACAAAATGTAAAACAATTCAATAGAAAAAAACCAACGGCCTGATTTCTATCAAAACAATAAAAGAAATAGGAAATTCTAAAGCGTTTTAGTGGTAATTGCTGGAATAACTATTCTAAAGAAATTGTTTTGAATCGGAATAAACAACATATTTGAATATTCCAATGATTCTTATTGATTTTCTCTTGAAATAATTTGCTAAAATTTGATTGCAGTTTTATTGATAACTATACTTTTGCCTCCCCAATTTTCCTCAAAAAACAAAAAAATAGATGCAAAAATATTAACACGACCATCTTGTACTATTAATTTAAATACAAACACGATTCTATGGTCGGCAACCCAATGAGACTGGAAACGCATGAATTTTGGTTTATATCTAAAAAAAAATACGGAGCCCTGTTGGTCTATTACAGATAAAAAATTGTGGTTTTTAGAGTCAAACACTTGAGATATAAAGTCTAGTGCCGGAGATGCAGCAATGAAGATGGTCAAGCGCTGTAGATATAATGTCCAGCACTTGAGATGTAAAGTCCGAAGTTGTAGATGTAAAATCCATCGCTGGAGATGTTAAATCCTGCAAATACTTCGATGATTCTTGGCATTGCAATACAGTAGAAAACATATTTATTTAGTAACCTTTTTTAAATAACATATCCATTCCGAACTTGTTCCCAAAAGCTATTTTTGCGATTAATACATGTACAGAACATACGGGTCAATATAAAATAGTGGAAATAAATGGTTCTTGAATAAGATCACAAAAATGACTATCTGACAAATTATTTGTTAGGTTCAAAATTCTACAGTTTAAAATCTTTATCAATAAATCTTGTCCCTACATAGTCTGTGATCCAGGCAAAATTTAATTTTGTTTAAATATTTTTTTAAGAT